AGCGCTTGGGATCAACATCTCCTTTCGGCAACGCTTCTCTAGTATCCCGTCTCATCTGGTTCTACTGTACAGTGTACTGAGTCTACTGACTACTGACACTGTGTAGGAAAATACATGCCGTGTATAGACTCTGACTACTAGTACTACTCATTGACTGGACGTTTACCTCACAAATACTGGATACATAAGATTTTCTGTTGAGAAAGACGCGTCCTGCGACTGCCATCGTCTCAAGACACTATGATGAAAAGCACTATGAAGCAACCTGCTACTACTACTACTAGTACTAGGAGCTGTCATAATTCGCCGGTTTCTGTGTTTACGTGTCGAACAGATTTTTACGATTTGGTTACCGGAACCGCTGTTCGGTGTGTGCAACGTAACATCCGCCGCTGGTACAGATCGCCGAGGTCATAGCCGAGGTCAAGCCAAGGTGTCACGGGTTACTCATCTATGCAATGTTCTGCGTCAACAACTCAGCTTATTTTGTAGTCAAAAACTAGTAAAATAAAACAGTTTTGATTCACGCATTAAAATATTAATTATCGCATAGAATGATTGCATAAACAACCGAATTGCGCAAAAGAACATGGTATTAAAAACTTTGCGAAAGGTGGCGCTACAGTCTACGTATATTTTGTCAACATTAATTTTGTCTTTCACATGTCATGATTGTCAAATGATAAATCAAAACTATCTGATCAAATGATAGGTTTCACGTTGTGTTTTGTTTGATTAATAGGTAGGGCGTGATGGCGGCGCCACTACGATTTAGTAGTATTCGCCCAGGTTGTTGGACATTCCTCTCAGTTTCACCACACAACCAATTTGAATTTACCCTGTTTAGAACTGCGGCTTGTTGCAATTTTAGCAAGTCAACCTACAACTACAAGTACAAGTATAAACTTTTATGTGGGAAGAGTGAAAGCCCGCATCAGGGCCACGTACCACTACAACAGCAACTAAGACATGCAAGCAGGGGTGTGCGGGACCCAGAAAATATAGGTATGTATTTATCGTAATGTTGAGGTCACAGGCACTTGGATGACACAGCCACAGGCACTTGAAGCGTTTCAATAAAATATATACGCAGGGGTCGTGTGCCGTGCACGGCGACAGTTAAATATATCGCAGTAGCTGGAGGTACGGTAGCCGTCGGTCGTTGAAGCCCCTTTTTGGCGTTAGGCCATGAGAATTGAGGTATGAGTTTCCCGTCCACCGCCCGCATGCCGTCAGAGCCACCGCCGAAAATATTCATTATTTCAAAAGTATTTCATTATTTTCATTTTTAAATCATTAAAGCCCAAGTTGTTCATTCAGAGCGATTAAAACATACATTAATACCAATACAACAGCATGCTGACGTTACGTATCCTGAGTACATCGACTTACAGCCCGATCCCCAAAAACGTGCCAGGCTACACTCCTACAGTTGGAAATGGTAACCAGCCAAGTAGACTGGTACTCGCTCCCACCTCGATTACTTGATGGGAGTAAGCCGAGAGGTGGGACGACCGGGTACCAGTCTACCAGCCAAGCTGTTCAGCGAGACATCTGGTGATACACTATAATTGAGCCACATACAGTAACAGATGCTCAGATTGGTCAGGAACTCATCATTGCGCCAAGATTGACCAATGGAAATCGTTCTCTCTGCCGTGTCTTTTCCGGATGTTCATAAATTATAAATGCTCCGAATTGTCAATAAATTTGCAATGCTGAATGCCGTAAGTATTTCTCAATGAATATAGAATCTGATGAGTTTGAAGAAAATATTCGACCACGGATAATAAAATATGAATTATTACACACATGTATGCGGATGTCGCATGAACAAATATTAAATGAATAATGACAAATGAAAAATGAAAAAAAGCCTCCTCACTTTTCAAAATATCTCGGACGGGAAACTCATACCTCAATTCTCATGGCCTTAGGGTTAGGGTTAGGGTTAGGGTTAGAGTTAGGGTTAGGGTTTGGTTTAGGGTTAGGGTTAGGGTTCTAGCTCATCTAAACTCTCAAATCGTGAATTTATTTCCCAAGGCGTTAAATATTTCGAAATCTGGCGCCACCGCCACCATCTTTGTCTCGTTAAGTATGAAAGCGAATGGACTCCCGTACCCATAGCCTCGAGATATTAAGATACGGCTACCGTACCCGTAGCCACTGCCTAAATATATAGCTAATATTTAACTGTTGTCGTTATATTTAACGTATTTATATATAGCTATATATTTAACTGGCGCCGTGCACAGCACACAACCCCTGCGTATATATTTTACGCAATGGCTGGAGGTACGATAGCCGTCATTCGTTGAAGCCTCTTTTTGGCGTTAGGGTTAGGGTTGGGGTTAGGGTTAGGGTTCTAGCTCATCTAAACTCTCAAATCGTGAATTTATTTCCCAAGGCGTTATTTCGAAATCTGGCGCCACCGCCACCATCTTTGTCTCGTTAAGTATGAAAGCAAATGGACTCCCGTACCCGTAGCCTCGAGACATTAAGATACAGTTACCGTACCCGTAGCCACTGCCTATATTTTATTGAAACGCTTCAAGTGCCTGTGACTTGGATTTGGAATGTATCAATACTCAATACAATAGTAAAATGATAGTAAATAAACATGAAATGTATTTACTACCAAAGTCTTAATGACAAATAATGTTTCTCTACTCTCTTTCGCCTATTATAATATTAGTAATAATTTCCTGTGAATGCCTTTCAAATGCTCGTCTGCAACATCGGACGAACGCCGCCGTGGACAAACAAGAATAAAAAGGTTCTTATTGTCACGTTATTCACCGGGGGGTCACTCCCATACTAAAGTGGTATGCATATATGCTCGTCAAAGCATCTCAAAATTGGATCCTAAATGGCGTATTCAGCGTTAGCAAATTCACCCCTTATTGGTGTGAGATAATGTAAATCTTACCCCTAAATGGCGTAACAGTGAGAAATTTGTGTAAATCCGTAGTCTCGTGCTTGTCTCATTCCCGCTTGTGCCCAGACTTGTGAGTGGCTGGTGGCACGTATACCGGGCACCGAGCGGGCACGTATAATACTCGACTTTAACACCCATCAGAGTCTGACGTTGATGAGAATGTAAACATGGAAATAAATGGTCGAATCGAATGACGAAAACTGGGCGAAAAAGTGACCCTAAACGTTGAAGTTTAACCTGAAAAAGTACCTCTTTTTCTAAAGACATTGTCGACGATACAGGGTCAAAATCCGACTATTTTTTCGACGTTTTTTCTGACGAGCATGCGTACCACTTTAGTATGGACGTGACCCCCGGGCTTTATTCTTGTTGCTTGTGTGCGGCGGCATTCGTCTGATGTTGCCGAGGAGCATTTGAGAGGCATTCACAGGAAACTAATTTAAATTGTATTTGGCCTAATCGACCCATGTTGCAAAGAACTTGATGAACTGTATCATGTAGAATCAGTGAATGTCCCAGTATGATAGCATACATGCAGGAACTTTTGGCTAGTGAGACTATAGGCTTGCAAAACGTTTGACCAAGAGCGTATAAAGAAGGAGAGCGTACAACGGTGAAATGCTGAAACCATGTTGCAGTATTAGTGGAATTAATAAAGTTTACTCGTTTCATTTTTGACGATTCTTTGCAGTATTATTGATCAGCTGTCCTACCTTGTTAATATAAAACAAATGGCATGTCCCTAGACTCCCTACGATGCCCCTATGCTGAGATAATGAGCGGTGAAAATCCGGTATTTTTGCTGAAAACCGACTCGAGATCACTGTTTACTGCGACTGTCTCTCGCTTTGAGATAACTTTGGAAAACCTCGCGTGTTTTCGTCAATGATTGACAAATGGAATGAATGACGTCTGTTATTGATTGCCATAGTGATGACCCCCACCTGTGCCCACCTCACGCTGGATGTATAGTAATCTCTGTAGTACTGACGTGAGTCAGCGCTACCATGGCGCTACACAGCGGTGACCGGAAGCAATACACTGGCCACAAAGCGAGAGAGGGTCGCAGTAAACAGTGATCTCGAGTCGGTTTTCGGCGAAAATACCAGATTTTCACTGGCCTCTACTATAGTAGATATAGCAGTGTTGACACAGGTATTGTGTAATATAGGAAGAAGCTTTGTGTACTTAGACATGCGTCTAAACAGAGGAATTTCTCCGACCTGTGATTGGAAGATAAAAATAGACCCCGCCCACTCCCGCCGCATACGCTATTATGCTATATGACCGGTAGGAACGTGTACTAACTATCATATGGAGCGAACGATTTGAGTTACATTTCTATAAATTCTAGCTGTTATAGACACATGTCTTAGCCTTAATCTCTGTGAATTTTGAGTCTATTAAAGCACGATTAGTCTAATTAATTAGCAAATATGCACGCGTGGTATCGCTCATAGGCTAATACACGCGCGGCTATGACCGGTGAAACGAAACGTCACGAATTCTATTTTTATCCTCCAATCACAGGTCGGAGCAATTCCTCTGTTTAGACGCATGTGTACTTAGGATGTATAATGGCATATTTTTTTGAAGTTGTTTGAGCTAATATATTACATTGTACAGCCACTAGGGCTGTAACGATACACAAGCCTTTCAATTCGATCCAATTCTCGATATTAGCCTCTCGATTCGATTCTTTCGATGCGATTCCCAAAATATTGAAATGTTATCTTGTTTTATATATTTTTATTATTTTGCAATAATAAATTATTAGAAATTGCCAATGAATACTAAATGGTGAATAGACTAGAGAGTCTAAAGAGTATATATCATAGAGATGTATACTATTTATACATCTCTATGGTATATATTATATACACTGCACAGTCGCTGAGTAAAATTGATGAGTAACACTCTGGTAACACTCCACAGTATATAGCGTAGTGCCGCCATCTATTGGAGGAAAAAAGTGGTATCGAAGTGGAATCGAAAAATACTGGGAAAAATATCGAGGATCGGATCGAGGGAAGAGAATCGCGATCCGATTCGATTTCGGTGGATCGTTACAGCCCTAACAGCCACTATGTCAACCAGTTCGTTAACAACTATGTAAGTTATAGGCATCCTTGGTCTTTTCTTTTCTAATAAGAGCTTATTTGCTCAAAGTACAATAATTGATCAGGAAAGAATTGGTCAATTAAATAAACAAGTTATTCAACGCCACAATATTCCAAAGTTCAGCAGAACATGGTTTGCTAGAGCTTACATTTTACATTCCCCCTGCTGTGTAATTTGTTTTTTCCAAATTACCTTTTGTTGCCTACAGGTGGCCCTAGCTGTATATATCTGTAGGGAAATGCTATCCCCCGGGCGTGGAGGGACAGTACCGCAATGTGGCAGCACTAGGGTTAGGATTAGGGTTAGGATCAGGGTTAGGGTTAGGGTTAGAGTTAGGGTTAGGGTTAGGGATATAAGGCCATGTCTAGTACGGAAGTATGACTGTGGAAGATTTGGACTTTGAAGTATACGTCAACTGTATCACGTGACTGTCCCTCCACGCCCGGGGGATAGCAACACCCATATCTGTATGCACATCCTAGTTTATCTGGAATATTTGACAAAGTTTTAACATTTTAAGTCAACTAAGAATCCATAAATAAGGTTAACGATAACAACAACAAAAAAGAACTTTTCTGATTTCTTGATGGTTTAATAAATGTTAAATTTGATGTTTAGGCTAAAATATTGGAAATACACTAGTGCATCCTGATGACTAAAACCTTTCCTGGTTAAATTCATTGTGTAGGTGCAAACCTTTGGAAAAATGTGTTTTAAAAATATAAATGCTTTTGTGCATCATATATACACACTGCCAAAGTTACAGTGACATTTACAAACGCTACAGTTCAGAGCTAATTTTTGCATGTTTTGGCTTGTTGGCTGTTATGCCCAGATGGCCGTTTCTATAGAACAGCCACCTGTGGACAGAGGTCATAAAAAATTTACTGCTGAGAAATGACATGTTGTAAACAGTGTGCAGAACAGCAACCTGATGAATGCAGCCAGCTCAGCCAATGTGTTTGTATGCCTTTAGAGGGTTCCAAGCCATTTTTTGTCACTTGCCATTAACAACATTCAGTGTCACTAGCATCGTCTGCTAGCAAACTAAAGGGCACGCGTCCCGGCTGCTGTCAGCGCTGCTGCTAGCAGAAAAAACATAGTGGCATTCTGAAATGTTACATTGATAAGAAAAATGCCAAGTTTACAAGGGAAAGTTAATAAAGATGACAGAAACACATTGATATATTTAAATATTAGTATTTATACATAATTATTAACATGTGTAACTGCCAGGTTTTATGCACAGTGGTTGATCGATTTTAGTCGCAAGGCAGAAATGGTAGATATATACGTTGTACAGCCTTCAGAATGGAAGATCCATAGAAATAATATAGATAACCATATCTATATGATATGGGAAGATCAGCAGGTTATTGGTAATTATATGGTCATTGCCAGTGATGCAGATTGCATTACTGATGGTGAAGTTTCTCAAAGGGCAAATCTATAATGTATGAATATTTCGGTTTATTACTCTACTTCCTCCTTCACCTTCTCCATATTCCTTCTTCCATATTCCATTTACCTATACCTTTACCTTTCCAATACCACTTCTCCACCTCTTGACTAACATTTCCCCTTAATCACCCTTTTCGTATCCTCCCAGCTTCACCTAACCTCTCTTTTCCTTTTCTTCTCTTCACCCAGTTTCCCTCTTCCCACTTTTTTGCCATCTTTTCCACCCCCAGCTTTTGTCTGTTCATTCTCCACATCACCCACACCTGTTTTTCTGCAACGTCTATCGTTTCCCCTCACTTTACAAGCTCTGTGCTTCTCCCTTCCTATATATTTTCCCTTACCCCTTCTCGCATCCACATCAGCCACATCAGCCCTCTCCTAACCTTTAACAACGTGGTGATTTTTAAATGAGGTGAACCCCACCAAAAAGCACGAAAAATATGTGCACAACAAAGAGTGTGACATTATTGAAAATGCAGGGTGGTTATATATATATATATATTGTATATTGTATTTCTTATTTGCTAAAAATTCAATATGGTTACCTACCTCCCTCTCTAGAAAGGCCAGTTGTCCATAAAGGCCACTTTACCATTGATTCGGCCGTTATGTGCTATTTTAACTCTACTTAGCGATAGTGCTGTTATAATTAAATGTTACTTGTATATCAATTAACTAAGTAATGACATATAATATATCATGTGTTTGCCCATCAAAAAGGCAAAGGTATCACTGGAACTAATTTTGACACAATGGGGACGTGGAACAATATGATAAGCATGCCACTGCAGATGAATGAGAGCATACGGCGCGGTCGTATCATACCAAAGATATCGATGGATCAGATAGGACTATCAAGTGTCCTAGGTCGCCGTGAATATCAGGTTGGTTGCCATCATTTTTTGGGGAATTTTCTTTCTTATACAGAATTTAGCATAACATCATATTCATAGTAAATATAGTTAACATGCCAATCATGTAACTAATGCGTAATTCCCTTCTTGACAACAGATTTGAATATCCCTGCCTGTGTGTATTAGGTGTGTCTTTTAGGATTCGAGAAGCTTCTCTACTCAGTTTCCCGTTACAGGAACATCTGTCGTTCACAATGTATTTGAAAGAGTGAAACTGTCGCGACTTCTCTGCATCCATCACAAACAGGAAATTTCACGGGCCGTAATTGAAACTGCCTAACCGTTCCATTTTATCCGCTTTGCAATTGCTCACATTTGCCGTGTTCACGCATCGCAATTGTAATAAGGCAAGAGGTAAGTACAGTTAATGGCAAAACCCTGACGTTCACCGGTTTTTGCGCCGCCGCCGTTACAGGAAGACCGATCCATCGTGAAGAAGCTACCCTACCCCGGTGGCGGGCACGATCTTCTGTACTTTGCCGTCTTCGATGGGCACGGCGGCTCGCACGCGGCAGACTTTGCGTACACGACGCTCGAGGACCACGTGCTGTTCTGGCTCGAGCGAGGCGAACGCGACCTGGGCGTCGTGCTGCGCCGCGCGTTCGTCGGCGTCAACAACTCGTTCGCGCGTCGCGTCTGCCTCGGCTCGCTCGACAAGTTCGCGTCCGGCACGACGGCGACCGTCTGCCTGCTGCTGAACAGCACCGAGCTCGTCGTCGCGCACGTCGGCGACAGCCGCGCCGCGCTGAACCGCAACGGCAAGGTCGTGCGCCTGACGACGGACCACGCGCCGGACAGCGGCGCCGAGGGGCGGCGCGTGCTCGCGTGCGGCGGCCGCGTCAGCACGAACAGCCTCGGCGTGCCGCTCGTCAACGGCCGCCTCGCGATGACGCGCAGCATCGGCGACCTCGAGTTCAAGCGCTACGGCGTGACGGCCGAGCCGCAGGTGACGCACATCGAGGTGAAGCACTACAAGGACTCGTTCCTCTTCCTGACGACGGACGGCGTCAACTTTGCGCTCAGCGACCAGGAGGTGTGCGACATCATCAGCCGGTGTCCGTCGCCGCAGCACGCCGCGACCTTCATCACCGACCAGGCGCTGCAGTTTGGCTCCGAGGACAACTCGACCGTCATCGTGCTGCCGTTCGGCTCGTGGGGCAAGTACCGGCTCCTCCAGTCTGACAACGTGCAGTTCAGCTTCGGCCGCCTAATCTCGAAGAGCACCCGCTGGTGACAGTGTGTCGTGGTGACATCGGACTGTGGTGACAGTGTTTTGCGGTGGGTGATTACATCAGGTCATGGTAACAATGTATTGTGGTGACAACATAGGATCCTGGTGACAGTGTGTCGTGGTGTCGTCGGGTCACAGTGACATTGGTTTATGTTGACACAAGGTCGTAGTGATGAGGTGTCATGGTGACATTGGGTGGTCGTGGCAATGCAGCATGGTAAGACATTGAGTTATTGTGACAATGTGTCATATAGTGACAGCACGTTTGACAGTCCTATTGTCATACCGTGTTTTAGTAGACAGTAGGATGTGGTGACATGATAACAACATTGCATCGTGTTAACGTTCCAGGCTGATAGGTTTTCATAATGACAGCATGCAGTAGTGAAACATGTCAGTGTGACAACATGTTTATAGCAGTGAAATAAGAGCGGCCTGCAGATGTGTGTGGGTATTGTAGAGTTGGCGGTTGCATTAGACTCGAACTTGTTTCATGCCCGAGTTGTTTACCTTTTACTCTATTTTCAGTGTTTATCCAGTCTCCATGTGTGTGCGTGTGTTACCAGATCCTGACATTTCTGGCACATCAATTACAGGCAGATGTTGCGTACGTGAGAAATCATCTAGCTTCTTTCCGGCCTGGAGTGAAATTGCGCTCATCACAGGCAACTGTAACTTCATGGGCACCTATGGTAAGGTGCAATTTGTAAACAACGTTATTCGGGGGAAAAATTGTATTTTTTTTCACGGGAGCTCTTTTTCAAAAGTGTGTGGAAAAAATAGCTCTTATCAATAATTTTACGGGAGCTATTTTGAGCCTCACGGGAGCGATTTTGGAAGTTTGAAGAGTGAATCGCTCATCGCTCTCGTGTATTTTTTACCCTGACGTTATTACCATGTGTTGGTTGTTTTGAATTTTTGAATTTACCATTTTTTTGTTATGAATAGTTTATCGAGAGGGACTGTTGTTATTTTGCTGACAGTATTAAGCAGTGCTTTCCCTTCCCCCACGTGCATAATAGTTATATTATAGGATTAGTTTCTCTGCAACATTATGAATTTAATTGGTTATAATATAAGTAAATAAATAAATAAATAAATAAATAAATAAATAAATATATAATATATATATATATATATATATGCACATTTATGTTATATAACATAATAAATGAGATAACTCGTTCTTTACCTGTGCGTGCAAACGTAAACCTGTATCAAAAGTTAAAACGTCACTTACACTAACCTTAGTTAGTAAAGACGAAAAACAGGAACTATAAACTAGTAGTGGTCTGTACTATATTTGAAATGTGAAGACTCTGAGAAGTATAGATTTTGAATACGGTTGACTCTTTTCTATCTGGCATTGCAGCACACAGCAGCAGCTCTCAGTTCCCTTGTAGTAGTTTGCCCGGAATTCGGTAGATGTATTTAAAGGGAGAGTTTACACTAGGTTCTAGGGTTATTTTCAGCTAATTTAGGTTATAATTATGCTACATAAAAAGTTTCATGGTTTAATCACCATTAGAGATTTTTTTTTAATGGTTTAAAACTAACGACTACAGTTTGATTACAACGACGGTTAAATCCTAGAGTAAACTATCCCTTTAAGAACTTTAACAAGAAGTGTGTGAGAAGCAACCTAACAGTAAGCACTGAGAGCACATTATAGCTTAGACTACATCAGCTGCTGTCATCCCCTCGATTACACAACTGCTAGGATGCAATACTAGTTACCAGTTACTTGTGATATATTCAGAGAGGAAATGAGGTTATATATTTGGTGCGCGGTTACCTTTTATTGAATGACTGCAGTTGTTTTATATTTTGCCAGGTTTACTTGTTTTCTATGTGTAAAACATTTATTGTGAAAAGCATCGAAACTAAACAGACTGGGCGAAATTTCCTCAGGGTCGAGATAAGCCGTCTCAAGCTTGCCGGAAAAGCAAGGTGAAGTTCAACTACAAAATAAAAAAAACATTTGTTTCATTTAACACTAACTGGAGGTTTTCTGTAAGAAAATGACTCAACTACAAAAAAACGTTGTGAGCAGTATGGAATGAAGGCAATTTCGTCTGACCCTGTAGACATTTTTGTTGATGGTATTAGTTGTAATGTGCTTTTAGTTAGCAGCGCGGTAACTAGATTGCTTGCTTTCTTGTATTTTTGCAAAAAGACTGCTATATGCATTGTTGTGCTTTTTCTTTTAAAATGAAAGGTTGAAAGACTGTTTGCTACTGTTCAGTGCCCTATCATAAAGTAATTGTGTGAAGTTAACTCGATCACGTAGTCATTTCCTGTAGCGAACCTAATCCGTCAGGAATTTTGCCTAGCCCCTAGCATAGATGAACAAGAGTTATTGCTATATTAATTCCATCAAGAGCTAATAATCAAGAGCTAATAAGGTATTATTATCTCTTGATTCCATGTAATACGTCATCTATGTAAGTTATCACCTGTCTTCCCAAGTAGATGGAAAAATTATGCGGTCTTTTCAGGAGTAATTGCTAAATGTTTATTAGCTCAGCACTGGTTCAGTACTGCCGTAGCAGTGCAATATGGTGTTATCAGGCGTAGTTGCATCACAGGGCTTCCTCTTAAATAATGCAGGCGCATTTATATGCACTGTAGAGCCGTATACCGTATGTTTGTTAGCAGTGACGGGTAAATAATATAAGAAACATGTCTTTCAATTTCGTAATTTACTGCCTATCGGCTGTGAGTTTGTTGAGTTGTTGATTATTGTTTGCCTGTCGTTTCTAATTGAGTTTGTATCGTTTTGTACTAAGATAAGAAGGTAAATGATTAGTCTCGATAGGTCTTATCCGTCCATTGTCGGTTCCACTGTCGTTCCTATACTGTATATTATGTAGTGGTCGTACTGGTGTGGCATTCGCATGCGATCAGGTCCAATCTAATGTTTTCCAGGTTTCTGATCACCTCACGTAACTGTTATTTATTCTAGGCGCATTACTAAAAAGATAACTTCCGAAATATACCGTGTGAATATTGCTGTTTTAAGAAATACTAATAACGTTTTATAAACGTTTATCTTTGTTTTGCTTTGTCAAGTTATTTCACCGATAAAGGTCATCGTAAATTGCTTACCAACACGAAGGTACACCTGCTTATCTCATATGGACCTCGGAAGTGTTGCATATTGCTAAGGTTTGCCTAGTCTGCGCCCCGAGGCGCTATAAACTGATCAGAAGAGGATATTATTAAAAGCGAAATACACATTCACATTCGCCTTAGTGCTTAATTAAAAACGCTGTGATGCATAGACTAGCACGGGGCACCAATAAAAGTCGCACTGTTGACATAACATTTATCTTTCATGTAGTGGGTGGGTCATTACAGGTATAATGTGCTTGTATATAAGCCAATATGCCAGTGTGACACGCGTATCAGCAAGAGTCTACTTCACCTTTGAATGGGACATAGCAACTGCTCCTGTACAGCAGATGTGTAGCTTTGGGGAAGCCAAGGGTTTTGAAAGCACGTATTAGTTTTAATTGCTGTTCTGAACGGAACAGGAACTTGCTAAGACAGGAACAAGGAATTTGATATAGGATGTTTTTTTATTAATAAAATGCTCGCGACTTTCATTTACCTGCTTGTATGCAAACAGGTACATATATGTTCACGTGACATGTTGGACAGAGTTCGTCAAGGTCACGTCGGTGAGCTGCCTGGTTTCACTAGACAAGCCGCCATGTACTCGTATCTCCGCAGCAAGGCCGTTCACACTAGTGTCTTCAGTACATTCAGACAATGGTCCGGCAATAGTTAATACAGTGCATCTACGTTCACGATAACCATCAGCAACCGCAAGGTTGCTTACGCGGTGTGCGCCAATGCTACCTGGTGGCGCAGTGTGCACCATTGGCACCTGGTGGCGCGGTGTGCACCAATGCCACCTGGTGGCACGGCGTGTCGTTGGCCGCGTTTGAGCCAAGGAGCTTCATTGGACTGTTAACTACAGTACAAATCCGCCTCCGCCCCTTGTCTAATAAGGCTCCTTAGTTTAGGCAAGTGGTTAGAATATACTTATCACGCGTTTGGAGACCTCATTAAGACATTTCGCCTCTTGTACCCACAGCTTTGCTTAAATATACCATCCATATCATGGTGAATACAATACGAAAATGCATTCTCTCTCTCTCTCTCTCTCTCTCTCTCTCTCTCTCTTTCTCTCTCTCTCTCTCGCTCTCTATCGCTCTCTCTTTCCTAGTCAGTGCCTCACGGTCGTGCGTCTTATTTCATTTATTTATCCTGATGCATTTGCATGTCAGCCGGTACAATAATTCTGCAAAATCCCAATCAACTCATCCGCTCTACCTCCCGCATGTACGAGCATGATTAGCAATAATGCAATATGAAGCTCGCATGCACTGAGCATGTAAAACAGTATAGCAGTCCTTGTGAATAATATATTGAAAGGTCAGAGAAGCCATTACATACGTTCTGTACGAACCGAGTGCATATCGGGTATCGGGCATATCGGTGAGTGGTGTCGGGTTTTGATTAAATTGCAGTTAGACCACGGTTCGTCGTGGAGGATAATTGTTTACAGCTATTGACAAGCACGGGTAACATAACGTGATTACGTGCATCTATAATACCAGAAGTAGATAATAGGGAAGAAGTGTGGCTTCTTCCACAACAAGGGAAATTCGTCATTTACCAGCCTTAGAATACCTACGATCTACTACGCGTAAACTCAACCAACCTGAGCTCCAGGCGTACACAGTACATTCGCCTAGCATCGTGCGAAATCGTTTCCTCGTATACACCCGCAATGCTACTTCCTGCTGGATAGAATGTCCGTCTAAGGGTACGACATCATGGAATAAAGGCACCGGATATGAAAACGAAAGCACGGATGTTGTCGACAAGACGATTCCATAGCCGATCTAATATAACGATGCGACTCCGTCTATCCTTTATGGGTATTTTATATACGTAGTCGTTTGGTCGGCACCGCAGCAATAGGGCTTTTATGCGGGCTTTGTGGCATGTGGAGTTCATATTTGATTACTCGAGGAACAAAAATAAACACAACCGCATTATTGCGCTGGGGCAAAGTAGAACACCTGCACCGGTGACAGGTTCTATGTATATATGTTAGGCAGCATGTGAGAAGCCACAACAATACAAAACAAAGGAATTTCCGCTACGTATCGCTTTTATTGTGAATAGAATAAACATAGGTTGCCAGTGATTAGAATATCTTAGTTAGTGTTAGTTAGTTATAGTAGTTAGTGTTAGTTAGTTATAGTAGTTAGTGTCATATTAGGCCTTCCACCAGCTACTGCCGTTACCGCTGCTATCGCCGTTATGACTGTTTCCATCGATGCTGCTACTGCTGTACATGTTGTTGTTGGTATAATATGAATAATAATAATAATAATAATAATAATAATAATTATTATTATTATTATTATTATTATTATTATTGCTGTTGCTGCTACTGCCACCGCCACTGTCACTGCCGCAGCCACTGCTGCTGCCACTGCGTCTACAACTAATACTGCTACTGCTACTGTTACTGTTGCAACTGTTAGCACGGCTACTGCTACCGTTGCTGTCTCTGCTTCTGCTGCTCTTTCCACACAAATGCTCCTATTATTATGCGTCAGACGAGCTTTCGTACGAAGCGTAGAAAAGGAGGCCTAGTAATCATGCAATGCATATTGATGCAGCCTGTGACCTCTATTTTTCTCCCATGCAGCAATTACCGGGCTACATTGTCGTCACGCCAGTAAGATAGAATGGAGTCTGTCGTGCTGTTCTTACGACGACATATAGCAGGGATACGGTCATGTTAACATAAAACACGCGACATATAGCGTATACGCGTTTGCGGAACACAATTGAACGCACGTTGTTTGATTGTTCGTTTCTTTGATTAATTGGTAATATATGTGTCAACGTATGAGTATGGCACCCCGTGCATGACCAGTGGTAGTATATTTCATATCTGTTCATAGCATGTACGTTCATGCCGAATAAAACAACTCAAAAAAGCAAATAACCGCACATCTTGTCTGCAACAAACGATGTATTTTTTCGTCGCAAAACATAGTCGGAAAAACCATAGGAAAACCCCATCTTTGGTCTCCGTGCACGAATGACCTTTACCTCATATGAATGATTGTCGTCTTTGAACGACAAACATCGTCGGTTTGCGTCAGACCGAAGGTAGACGCCTTCGTACGTACGCTGATTGTTATCATTTATGTGAAGTTAATGCGCAATCGCACTCAAATTAATGGTTTTCTGCGTTCTGACATTTAGCGGTCTTCCTATGCTATATGTAGCCACATACCCCGTTCGTCTCCACTTTACTGTAAGAGACTAGCTAAACGCACGTGATTGATTTCTTTGCTTCTAGTGCAATTAATTTTGAGCTACGATTATCAGCATGTTAGTTCAGCGACAATTTCACACTATACGGTATATATATTAGGTTAGCTAAAGAATGGTAAACATAGTGACAGAATGAAAATCAGAAAAATGGCTGATGACTTCCGCGCGCGTGGGTTTGCAGAAAAATTCATGCGCTCACCGGGTAATATCAAGCGGTTGTCAAATAAAATAGTATAGTATAACACAAACACACACACACATATGTATATATATATATATATATATATATATATATATATATATATATACTCATGTACTCCTGATAATACGATAGGGCACTGATGCGGATCTAGCCATTACCTATACATGCTTGGCAACCTTTTCCAGGTCCGCCCCCTGCAGGCAGATATACAAATATCAGTGAAGTGTATTTGGTTACACGGCGTTGCAAACGTTAAAACAAAAATTCGAAAAAAAACAAAGATGTGGTACCGATTAATAGTATATAGTAGGTAACGTTTTAGTGCCAGTAAAGATAGAGAAAGTGAATTGACGCTAATCATTTGGCTGTATATTTCGAGCCGTCAACTTGTCGAGAATTTAACGCCGAAGAGAACAACCAAATGTGCTGATTAATGCGGCAAATGTGAGGGAAAGAGAGGCGCCGCCCTGCGGACCCTTTAAAGGAGCTTGCAGCCCTTCGCTGACTGTTTACACGGTGAAGCTCCTCTTTGCACATTCTTGATCTGCCTTTGAGAAATACCGTATGGCGCGCGCATAGTAGAGCCTGTATAAATAAGACATCCGTAACGACCTTACGCACAGTTGACAACGCTTGTCTAGGGCATTAGAACTTGAACCACAGAGAAATGCTGTAATCTAAATGCAGATTAATTACGGAGCAATTTCTGACGATATGCCACAATGTTTATATCGTATCGAATAAACTAAATGCCGGTTCACAGGGAATAATGCATGCTGGCAACCTGCCCCTTGCTGGCAGCCTACCTCAGCCGGGAGCTACCCCACAAACTGGCAGCAATATCATCCACACGCTGGCAGCACGCACAGGCTGGCAGCACCCCCACGCAACATCTCCGCGCTGGCAACACCCCGCGCTGGCAACACTCTGCATGCTCTGGCAACACCCCGCTCTGGCAACTTCCTACGATGGCAACACCCCGCGCTGGTAACACCCCGCTCTGGCTACATCCCCACGCTGGCAACACCCCGCGCAGGCAACACCCTGCTCTGGCAACACCCCGCGCTGGCAACACCCCGCGCTGGCAACACTCTGCATGCTCTGGCAACACCCCGCTCTGGCAACTTCCTACGATGGCAACACCCCGCGCTGGCAACACCCCGCTCTGGCTTCTCAATAGTCTCTGCTCAATGTGACGCAATGAGGCATACGTGATTACTGTGTGCAATGCTGTAACGCTCTACTGATGATTCATTAGACACGAACATTATAAGTCATTCAAACAAAATATTGGAATGTAGTGAGCAAGAGGATATCACAAGAGCAAGTGAATACGTCATGCTACTGAGTACCAGACAACAAAATTACATAGCCAAGCCTTTATCCTGACATAATCGCTTTTCACAACCTTTGTGTAATATACATGAGAAATTTCATGACTTTGTCCTGACTTACTCGCTCTCTCACAACTTTTCTCGTCATCCCCGTTATCACAGAAGTTTTTATCCTCGATATAGCATCTGCCAGAGGTAACACGTTTAGTGTTTACTGTAATGTTTTTTTAAAGCCATTGTATATATATATATATATATATATATATATATATATATATACGCATGATATCCTACATATAGATGCAGGCTAGTGGGTGTGATTATTGATATTCACCATGATAATTACTGAAATTCGTCGAAATATTTTATGCAGTATCAAAAGCCATCATAAATGATCTCGTTAAAATTTTTCCATAATAATCAGGTGACGCAGGGTATATCTGTCATTGGTAACGTTAGGTGTATAGTAATATTTATATATAAATGCCTAACGGGTAAAGACGTAAATGTATAGATTGACTACGGACGATTCAAATATCGATAACTTGCGATAGCCATTAGTGTTGTTCGTTCTTTTTCACCCAACGTTGGCAGGTAATCGTCATAGAAAAATAGTTCCATTATACCATATATACATATACGTGTAATTATCACACAAATGTCTCTGGCGTGCAGATGTACTAATTTACTGATCTCGCATAGATCTACTCGCACCAACAAACGTTGGCGTAACCCAGGTTTTACCACGTTAAAGGTTTTCACAATAATGGGATATTTTTACATTATAGAGGTATAACATCAATATATTAATTACATTATACATATATAATACATAATAATTACATAATACATTATAGACTAGCAGATAATAAAGACGATTTGAAAGATTCCCGCTAAAACTCCCAGAATCATATCCTAACTGATGGGGCACCCGACCCCCGGACTGCTGTTTCGTACAAGCCAATCTATCTGAGCTTGGTGCATCATATTGTCCATATCAATCGGGACCATCATTATTCACACCGTAAATTATCAGAATATTCATGTCTGCATCAATGAGTCCTGTCATGTTTGCACACCCGTTATGATCTGTTACCCGTATCTCAGCAGTACGACCGCTCAGAGCAGCTATCCGTCAGGACAACGTGGCTCGGAGTGGCGAAATTCGGCGCAACCGCGAGTTCATTTTGGAGTTGTTCGGTGGCTCCATTCAGTGCAACTTGCATCCTGATGAAATTTTTTGAATTTTTATACTGTTTTGTACTTTATTTCGTTGAAGTACACGTTCGACACTCACGGCATCTACCGCTCTACCGATTTAGCTAGTGCTAAAATTTGGCTCGGGCCTGGTCAGACGTTTTCGATGGAACCAAATTGGTTCATGCTAACTCGGCACGGCCCCGAAAACCCGCCCGTGTGAACGCTCGGCTCGAGCCAAATTTGGCGCGAGTCTCATTAAGCTCGGGCCAAAAACGTTCGTGTGAACGCGTCTTAAATAGATTCGGTATTTGTTGAAATACGCGGCTTCTCAGATGCCAAATTATTTGCCGTGCTTGAAAAATCCCGAATCTCTTGGACTGCGCATTTCCTCGTGCGAACGCTTTGTTACAGAGTATCTGAACAACGTGATATTGGAATTATTGGGCGATGTATTATATATATAGATCAGGAGTAGATAATAGGGATTATCTTTATCTACTCCTGATATAGATATATCGAGCTACTGTGAATTTCGCTGAATGCGCACGCAAACCAGCCTGCACACGGTGAACTTTCGGCGCACCGAAAATGCACCGTGTGCGGGGGCCTTGAATGACGGTTCATTGCACTGCACTCATCATTAGTACCCCGTACAGACTGCAAAATTTGATCCTGTATCAAAATGGTTCGGGACCGGTTTAGATGTTAGTTATACTACTCCATACAGATTGAAAAACCTGATCCAACATCAAATATATATAACACGTTGATTTGAGATGTAGATGGAGCGATATGCGGGAATATTTAGCGGTTTACAATTACCTGCTGTGTGAATTATGTTCTGTATTACCTCCAGAGGCACGACTTTGTCACTAAAAAACCTTAACGTTCTTCGCTTTTGCATCAACTCGTAGAACTCTCTCGACCTCCTGAGCATCTCATCTTCCGAAAGTGTAGCGCGACCGTACGCTATGTGGTTGATCTGTGCGTTATCCATTTCCTCACACTGTTTTTCCTCTTCCTGCTCTTCATCTTCCTCCAGATTTGATCTCGATGGGTCGAGATCCCGCGCTCGTTCATATCTCGACAAATTGCTTTTCGGAATGCCTTGCTTTAAATTTGCCGCTCGGGTGTTCGCCTGTAGAGTTTTGACGGCGTAGCTAACCAGGGCCGCCAAACAGAGGGATACTAGCACTTGCCAGTAACGACAGAGAAACGGAGCCGCTTCCAGCATGTCGGCGAGCAGAAGTGATGCCATTATATTTGCACACTCCGTACTTGCTTCTATAATATAAAGCTACACCGTCGCCCGCTGCCAGACCTACACGCCCCTTGTAAAATTTGGCAGGTTCAGTGTCAATGTGCTACAGGGGCCCAGAGCTCGCAATGACGATCCTTCACAGCGAATACGTGTACATTGCGCATCGCACTGCGAGATTCGTATAAACCAGGGGGGTAGATAGCGGGGGGGGGGGGGTGGATGTGTTATATCCCCCCACTTATTTAGGTGGGGGATGTCGTGTACAATCACCCTCCCCTACTTTCAGGAGGAAAATGGGTGAAAATTTCACATTTTACAGACAATAAATACTGAACATTTATCTACAAATCCGTCATCGCTATTCATACTCTCCTAATGTATTATTACACAAATGGAAAATGACATACATCTACTGTAAAATGTCTGTAACTCGTTCCAAGAATGACATTATTTTACTAAAACTCAGACGGTTAATTTTCGACGCATTCCCCATATACGATGTTATCACGAAAGTTAAATCCCTATTTTATTCAAAATTAGAATTAAATAGACCTATTGAGAGTTGGGATATTGAATTTTCACGGGGATTGAATGGGAAAAATTCAATTTCATTACACTTTTTTGGAGGGGGTGGGGGTGCTGAGACCCGACCGGAAGTATATTCCCGATTTTGTTAAGGGATAGTAGACTCTATTAAAGCTTTTATTCGATTGCAGTAAACCCTATTTAACACGACATTCCATTAGTTAAACATGCTAATCAGTTGAAGAATAGAGAAGAAAATACGATAGCTTCAAATGTGTAACCTGACCGATTAAAATTTTCTATGACCTCTTTTATACTCACAAGCATGGAATAGAGCCGCCCCATGCGTCGCTGCAACCCGAGGATAAAACATCCGCCATGTATAAATCAAAGAATGTCGCAGAATAGCAGAGACGTCACACAATTACGCACGCCACACCAATTAAGAACGCCCGACACCAACGGACGTCACGTACGCATGGATGTCGGACACTGACGGACACCATATATTCACTAGTTAGTAGTAGCTCAGTATAATTCCATTCTGGGAATCAAATGCACTGGCGGACTTTTGCGTGTGGAAAATAGTACATAATGAAACAGAAAAAATCATAATCCGAGGAAGCGCTGCAATGTTCCCACAGAAGCAAGCATGCTGGCGATAAGACTGCCGTAAGATATTCGCACGCACGTGTATATAGAGAGAGATACGCGGCGCCGGCAGCGCTGCCACGCGGTATGAGATACGACAGCGAATATCTAATAGATTCTAAGCGGTTACCATGCTCGCACGGTGCGGCGGTTTACCGAGAGCTCCACTGTTTTTGCACGTTTTTCTTTAGTCCAACACTCTCTTTTGATTTATATAGCTACTAGAGTAGCTCATGGTGGTTTTGTATGCAATTTATGTGTAGAACTAAACTCTTCAAGAATCCACTAATTGAAGGTCCAGGAACAATATTTGGTTGGTAACACATTTCCCACTGACAGCGAAATAGTTTTTGGGCCACGCTTTATTCGAGCGAAGTACTACCATCCACCGTGACTGTATCTACAGAACCGTTGAACCCAGGAGGTTGCCCGACGACTCAAAATGTGCGCAATGGCCACATTATGGGGGGTCAGTAATACATTTTCATATCCAAAAGTCAATGGTTTTTAAGATAATTGCCAATTCAGCATGTTACGCACTACAATTATTCGTAATTGTTCCTGTTCCTATTGTTCAATTACTTGATTCCTGTAGAGTCCAGAGAGACATGATACAAGATTGCGTGGCACAGCTAAGCTGTTGATCCTAAGCGCTGCGCGTGGATGAGACGTGCAGTTCCGCGGGATATGCGCACGCGACCGCGGGGATGTTCAAGTATGAAGCGCTGTCCGCCTTGGTTCTTCGGGTTTGGCCGGACAAACTATAGCAGATGGGGTACGCTGTTCCTTGAAGATTGCCTGGACATACAAAGGAAGCTCACGGGTATCTACAGATGCTTTACAGATGGTAGATGGGTGATGTACCACACTTTCCGACAAGGCAGTGCAGTAGGATTTGACATGGCACTCGAGAAGTGTTACAATAAACCCGCCAAAGTTGCTGGAGGTATCATTGGGATGACTAGACAGAAAGAAGCAGTAGCATTATGGAATCTCCTAAAGCATGAGAAAGATCTTCATGTGGCACAGCTGCTGGAATGGTGTAACTTGGGAGACAAAGATGACAGTGAACTGAGCCTACACCATGAGTTCAATCCAAGTTCTACGAAGATTGGCCATGTTCGTGCGAATACGCTTCTGGATTACATAAAATCCATCAACAATCCGTTCGGCGCTGGAATCAGACTTCAGAACATCTCTACTGGAGCTGACATACCCCAGGAGGTTGTTGACGGATTACTTGAATGCCTGGAGAGGTGAATTGGTGAGAAGAGTTATCAAGAGTTTGTTGAGACCAGATTTCAGGATAAGGAGAAGCACCTACATGATACAATCCCTACCAACCGCATTACTATTTTCGTGAAATGTACTTCTACTCCGTCCACAGCGAAGAAATCGATGGCGAAAAAGGATGTTGCAGAAACGATTAGGTACATTGACTATGCTAGAGAAAGAGGGTACAGCATGCTAGAACTCCTGAAGTATGAATTGACCAGCACATACCAGTTCCTCACCACTGAATGTAAAAATGGCATCAAATTGAAGAAGCCCGATAAAGCCTCCTTAGCCAGGGAACTTGTCAGTCAACTTCCACAGGAGACGAGGAATGTAAAGAGTGACGCTCAAATGACAATAGTGGATTTCATGGCACTTGTGCGTAAACTACCGATAAAAAAGATGGGCCTTCACACATTCGATAAATTGGCTGAGAGTCTTTCCAACAGCATTCTTGCTACAGGCTCCGAGTCCACAAGAATAGACATGATTTTTGACGTTTATCAAAAATCATCAATCAAACAAATGGAACGGGCACAGCGAAGTTCTTCAGAACAAATCACTATCACCATTAGGTCTGACAATCAGAAACTCCCTGTCGATCTTGATATGTTCTCGAGCTCAATGTTGAACAAAGTTCGGTTGCAGGAGTATGTCTTCAAGTGGATGCTACAGAATGTCGAGTCGGACCAGGAGATCTTCTTTGGAGGAGTATATGGGGGTGAATGCAGGAAATTATTAGCTGGCACTGAAACACAGATCGCAGAGCTTTCAAGCAACTAAGAAGAAGCCGACGACAGAATCATGTTCCATATTAATGATGGTGTTGTGAAACACGAGGTTCAATCAGTCTTGGTTGACTCACCTAACACAGATGTATTTGTCAACCTTATCTTCCACTTCAACAAAACCTGGCAACTAGAAAAGCTGTATGTGAAGCTTGGTAACTGGAAAACAAAGAAAACGGTACCAGTCCACCTGTTGGTTGATCAACTGGACAACGGTTTGGTGTCGTGTCTCCCAGCCATTCATGCTCTCAGCGGTTGCAACAGTACCAGCAAGGTGGGTCCAAAGCTGTCTGGCCTGAAAGCATCCGTGGATCTCTCCCTACTGGAAGGGTTTGGTGTAGAAGAACTGTCACCACAGATAACAAGCAATGCTGAAAAGTTTCTTGTGTCTGGATTAAAGAAGACAGACTGTTCCACTTTCGATGAATATCGATGGGAGCAGCAGCACAATTCCAAGAAAGAACTGGACTTCAACCAGCTTGTGTGCTGTTCATCAACGCTACGAGAACACATAAAGAGAGCATATCTGCAGTGTAAGATGTGGTTGCAAGCCCAAACTCCTGCAGTCCCCAAACCAGATCCACTCCAGTATGGATATGAAGCAACGGATGTTGGCATAACACGAGTGATACTTCCAGTATCGTGCAGGCCCGATGACCTGCCCCCTCCATGCAAATGCCCAACATCGTGTATGAGTACCAAAACGTGCACTTGCAGAGAAAGGAACATAAAATGTGTGACGTTTTGTGGCTGTAGTAAAGGCAAAAAGTGTAGAAATCCAAATAACAGGAACAATTACGAATAATTGTAGTGCGTAACATGCTGAAATCGGTTTTTGGCAATTATCTTAAAAACCATTGACTTTTACTGACACCCCATAATGTGACCATTGCGCACATTTTGAGTGGTCGGGCAACCTCCTAGGTCCAACGGTTCTGTAGATGCAGTCACTGTGGATGGTAGTACTTCGCTCGAAAAGGGCGTGGCCCAAAAAACTATTTCGCCGTCAGTGGGAAATGTGTTACCAACCAAATATTGTTCCTGGACCTTCAATTAGTGGATTCTTGAAGAGTTTAGTGTTGGACATAAATTGCATACAAAACTACCATGAGCTACTAGAGTAAGCCATTATTCTCACTATCTGCGTCTGTCTCTCTTGCCAGTTCGGTGGCTCCATTCAGTGCAACCGCCAGTTCAGTGGCGCCATTCAGTGCAACCGCCAGTTCAGTGGCGCCATTAGGTGCAACCGCCAGTTTAGTGGCGCCATTAGGTGCAACCGCCAGTTCAGTGGCTCCATTAGGTGCAACCGCCAGTTCGTTGTCCTGTCTTGCTGTCGTGCAATCTGGCACCGCCACCAGTTCCCTTTCCGGCGTTGACGTGATGCCATTTGGCGTAATAGCCGATTCTGACCCGTGACCCAACGAGTTGCCATTTGGGACGATTGCCAGCTGCCTCTGGTTGCACACCGTGCTGTCGTCCTGCGACGGGCAAGCGTCGGCAGCGGCGAGGTCTCCGTTGGCCATCTCGAACATGTCGCTACCGCTCGTGTTCGAACGCAGCCTCTCGGCTCGCAGCGCGCTACGCATCGTCGTCATCGCCGGCGAGAAGCAGATGTTGGCGCGGCCGAGCAACTGCGCATGCGCGGCGCGCGGCCGCCAGCCGCCGTGCTTGAGCGCTATGATGTTGCTGTGGCTGTGCGCGGCGGCGCCCTGCTCGTCGTCGACGTCGTCGTCGTCGATCGCCCGATGGCTGCAGTGCAGCGTCATCTTCAGCAGGCTGCGGAACTTCTGGCTGTAGTAGGCGTAGATGCAGCAGTTAATCCACGAGTTGGAGAAGTAGACGATGTTGACGATCGGAAAGAGGAACCAGGGCGCGTCCTGCACGTCGCTGCGGTTGATGACGTAGTAGATGTGGAAGATGTGGTAGGGCATCCACATGACGGCGAAGACGAGCAGTATGGTCACGCACATCTTGATGGCGCGCTTCTTCTGCGAGAGCGCGTACCACGTCACGGACACGTTCGAACTGCAGGCGCTCACCTTCCGCGCGACGGCGCTGCCGCCGACGCTGCCGATCGGTACGGCCTCGTGCGACTGCCGGTTCCGCTGCTGCCAGTCGCGCGTGTCCTTCCAGAGGCGGTGTATTATGCGCAGGTAGAGTGCGGCACTGATTGTCAGCGGTATTACGTAGAGGATCGTCAGGTCGACGAAGGCCAGCTGAAGAAAGAAGGCGTCGTCGTTCGAGTTGCTGATGTAGCTGATGTCCGGGCACAGCTGCACGATGTCCTTGTACTCGGGATGCTTCTCCGCCGGGAACCAGATGCCCCAGAAGCAAGCGTAGACGAGCGAGCAGACGAAGATGACGACGATGCGTGTGACGCACTGCCGCTTCGTGTAGGCGTGTTGCAGCGGGTAGATGACCACCTGGTGGCGCTCGGCACCAATCGCCACCATCGAGTAGACGCTCATCATGAACGTCAGGTCGGTCATGAAGCGGAAGATCTTGAAGAAGACGCAGTAGACGCGCGTGTTGTAGAGGCACAAGAACTCGAGCGTGGTGTAGAGCGGCAGCGAGAATAATCCGACGAGCGCGTCCGACGAGCACAGACTGACGATGTAGAAGTTGAAGGGCGTGTGCAGCCGCTTGTGATGCAGAATGACGGCGACGACGGCGATGTTGCTCAGGATGACGAGAATGATGAGCACGACGTGCACGAGGAGGAGCAGCACCGACGTCGTCACGTCGTCGGCATGCTTCAGCAGCGACTCGGCCGGCGAACAGTTCAGGAGCATCGTGGCGTTCTCCGTGGTTTCACGGGGCCTGCGTGCAGAGACGAACCATTAAACGCGTTGATTTTAAATGAATTCTCGCGCGCCATTTTGGTTTAAGCTGGGCATTTATATACAGAATAACAATTATTTAGTGTTATCAAATCGTCAATCAAGTTTAGTTTTAGTTCAAAGATTTAACGAAATAATAAGCGCCACTTTGGGTTTAGTACATTCTCGATTAACCCAAGAAATTTATTAAAAAAAGAATACACTAGTTGTAGTAAATTCTTTATCCAATTAACATTAAATGAGATATTTCTATCAAATAAGTAGCGCATTAGGATGAATAAATTTGCTATCAATTCTAGTTTACTAAAATTTTCGGATATATTATGAGGACAGGTGTCGTCGATGTGTACGAAGTCGTAAATGGATGCTCGGATCCCTTTACTCAAACCATATTCATATGCGTATAAATAGGCATATACTTGAATTACTAGATTACTTGAAACTATAAATGAGAATATAGGAAGTGCGTAGCCTTTTATTCTTCTAAGGCTGGGCGAACCTTCGCGCCATTAAGCGAGTTCTGTGAAGTGCTCTTATCTGTATGCGAGTTTTCAACGCCGTAACCCTCAACTTCACCCACTATGCCGCCGCACCGCGTACCGAGTTTTTAGAAGTACGTATTCTATTTGCGCTAACCTAATTATAGAGAAGATTTGTGTTTTTTCAACACATACGCGCGCGCACGCACAGACACATTCTCTCTCACACACTCACATGCACGCACGCACCCCCGCCTTCCCCCACGCACACAAACGCAAACGCACACAAGAATATCTGTTCGTAACAAACATGCTGTAATGAAATAGGCAGTGCGTACGTAGTGAATTACGTCCATGTCCACAAACAACTACATCCTCTTCCTGATTCTCCTGCTTATCCTGCTCCTAATGCTAACCCTATTCTCCGTTCTTCTTATATCTTCTTCTTCTTCTTCTTCTTCTTCTTCTTTTTCTTCTTCATCTTCTTCCTCTCCACTCTCCTTTAACATCATCATCATTATCAGCAGCATCATCATCATCATCATTATCATCATCATCATCGTCATCATCATCATTATCATCATCATCATCAACAAGAACAACAACAAGATAATTATTTCCTTTCTCTTACTCTTACACCCTTCACATCCTCTTCCCCACCTCCTGCACCCCCTTCTCATCTTCATCATCCACATCGGGCTATTTTTCGAATCCACCACATTTTCATCTTAATATCTAACTTCCTTTCCTTTCAGCGTAAGATTTTTGCATAGATTAAAATATTGGTGCTTGTCAGGACAGCGTTATGGGTTATAGCCGAAGAAGCCCGCGCTCACCAAAGCCTTTTAAAACTCTACACAAAGGCCTGGGTTAATTAACTAACATCCATCGGCTAACAGTACTGATGGAGCATCTGCCCTCATTATACGGCACGAGCATGCATTACGTTAATTATATCCCCGCTTGAGATTCCACTTATAGTAAACAGGTCCAAACTAAATGATGTTAATTATGGTAGATTACTTCGTTTAGTGCCTATATATGGTATCAAGAGCTAATAATACCTTATTATTACCGGTATTATTAGCTCTTGATGGTATACCTATATCTCAATCTCTGGTATTTATTTGCTGCAGCATGAAGATGATTGCATGCAGAAACCTTACACACGTATGACATTTTTGTTGCTCGCAACGCGAGCTCGAATCTCTCTCGTGTATGTTCCTTGTAGAGGTTACTGCTGCCGTAATTGTTGATGGCCTACATTCTTATGGGTAATTAGCACGCTCTTAGGATTAATCTGGTGATTAGTGCAGCAGCAGTAACAACGATCGCAGTGGCAGTCGCAACAGTGGCAACAACATCATCAGAAACAACTGTATGGCGGGTACGGCGGCGGGAGTCGACAACAACAACAACAACAACAACAACAACAACAATAACAACAACAACAACAACAACAACAACAATAACAACAACCGCAGCAGCAGAAACAACTGTATGGCGGGTACGGCGGCGGGAGTCAATAACAACAACAACAACAACAATAACAACAACAACAACAATAACAACAACCGCAGCAGCAGAAACAACTGTATGGCGGGTACGGCGGCGGGAGCCGACATCATCAACAACAACAACAACAACCGCAGCAGCAGAAACAACTGTATGGCGGGTACGGCGGCGGGAGCCGACATCAACAACAACAACAACAACAACAACAATAATAATAACAATAATAACAACAACAACAGCAGCAGCAGCAGCAGCAACATACAACAATAACAACAGCAGTTCTGTGAGAGCGAATGGCGACAGCAAGGTTGAATTACGATCGTCTGATTTTTGTGCGAAACGTACCATACGGATATTTCTTTTGAGACATACCAGAATGAGTCCAGGTGACACTGACTATGCGTCGCGAGAGATGAATCGGTCCATCGTGACTCCCATCTATTCACATCATTTCAATCTTTCTTCTTGTTAGTTAACGGCCATTGATCCTAGGCCACCAAGCAGTTCTATGCAGCCATGCCACCTTCACTATTAGCCTGCTTTGCCGTAAAGTTATTTTTATCTAGCAGCGAAATACGGTCTAGCCTAAGCACGGCACTGGGACTAGCGTTTTCGAGTGAGCGAAAGCGAGAAAGAGAGATAGAGAATGAGGAAGAGGGAGAAAGAGAGACGGTACGTGTGCAAGAAGGGGAGGGAGAGGGCGCGCGCGCAGGAGAGAGAGAGACGCTCATTAGCAGGGACGGTCTGATTCTACATGAGAATTATCTGTAGCCGGAACTTATTGCTGCTTCGTTATATACCAGGGTACTCACTCCATACTCCTCCGCACATTCACCGGAAGGCAAATCGATCAGGCGCTGCGCCACAAGTCCGTACGGGAAGAGGAGAACACAGTTAATTAATATAACCGGCTAAAAATGTTTGTATGTGCCAAGTGCCATCAAGCTACAATCAGTACAAGGTGATCCCCTAGCCACGGTGACTATAAAAACATACAATTGTCAAATGAACTGGGGAGTAATCTGCAGTGTGGGTGTGTGTGTGTGCGCTCTCTCTCTCTCTCTCTCTCTCTCTCTCTCTCTCTCGCGCGCTATTTAGCTCTCTCTTTATATAGACCTTTCTCTCACCTTATATGTCTCATAATAATTCTTATATCCCTCTAAATTATAAAGTGGTAGCTTACGGAATAACACGTACTTCTTTTCCTAGTTATATGATCCGGAATATACTTATAGAAATGGAGGAACTGTGTTATTCTAATAAGCTGCTGGTAACGATAAACATTCTAGGGAGCAATATGCATCATTATGTCAGCGAGTGGCTTCCGCGTTAAATCTGGCACAGTGGCGTCATCTGCCGGGTAACCGACAGGCATTACAACGAGAACTTTCTCGTACGCTGGCCTGTCCAGAGCTTTGCGCAGAGCCGGTCCGGCATTCAGTGGTGTGCTCGTCAAACTTACCAGACCAGCATTCTGTAACAACAAAGACTTAATAAGATATATAGCTAGTCTCCCCAGTTTACAAAATTGCACAAATGCACATATCTTTGCATTAATCCCTAATCTACGCAAGTACATTTTAACTATAAATATTCCCTACATACACGCCTATATGTATATTATGTGCGTATACGCGCGTACGTGCGGATTTAAAACCTACGTGTATGGCCGCCAACATTATTCCGCATGCAATCGAGACGCTGATTTCATTATAATAGTGAGTCTTCCTACTTCCATTAGCGTTGGTTCCATACACCTGCTTGAAGACAACGATAACGTACGGCGCTACCTCCAGATATGGTTTCACCCAGTTGGTCTTGAACTGCGTTAGATCCGCAACCCATTTATCTCCCATGCGCTTTCTGGAAAAGTTGTTACACCCGAATTCAGACGGACACCGTTTTGAGTTGCGCTAAGTCAACAGATTAATAAAAAACTGTTAAACAAACAATAGCGACTGGAAAATGTTAGGTCTATTTTTTGCGTGCGCGAGTTATTGCCCTGAGTTCACGGTCTAGCGAAGCTAGCTTCCATATAATAGGCAACGATGGCCGTGCACTTATACCGCCTTCACATGGTAATGGTTTGGCTCGAGCTAAATGGGCTAAATTTGGCTCAGACTAAATTTGGCTCGGGTCGGTTTGAGTGGGAGCGTTCACACGTACGCAAGCGAATACTGTCTGTCGCGATATGGCGTTATGAACGATTCAGTGTTTACATCCGTTCCGAGTTCAATCTTGAAAACATGCATCCTGATCAAATTTTTCGAATTTTTATACTGTTTTGGACGTTATTTCGTTGAAGTACACGTTCGACACTCGAGGCATTTACCGCTCTACCGATTTAGCTGGTGCTAAAATTTGGCTCGGGCCTTGCGTACGGTTAGTGTCGCGCGGTGACGTGCATGCGTGCGCGCGCCGTGCTTTTCGTGGTAATATTTATATAATATATGTGTGTGTGTGTCGTGTGCGTGTGTGTGTGTGTGTGGTGTGTTGTGTGTGTGTGTGTGTGTGTTGTGCGCAGCGCGCGGCGGTGTGCTGTGGTGTGTGTGTGTGGTGTGTGTGTGTGTGTCGTTGTGGTGTGTTGTGTGTGTGGTGCACGTTTTTGTAATGACGTCAGCTAATGCTACCGGGCAAACAGCGCAACAGCGCAAGCTCGCAGGAACCGCCAGACAGCAATATTTATCGTGTGTGGACACGGCGACGTATACACATAGTACTATTGCTATGCATCGTTACCCTACTTCCTCCATTATACATATAAACCTATGAACGCACAGACACTGCTGTGTGCACAACCGCGCGCAACGAACACACAGATATACAGGCACATACACCAAGACCACACACACGCACACACACACCACCCACACAGCAACACAGGATCACAACACGAACACACACGACATTACACACGCCGCGCACACACACACTCACACACACACACACCACCACACACACACACACACCAACACACACCCACGCACCCGCGCGCCGCACAACACACGGCGGGGCGCGCCGAGCCAGCCTAATGCGCGTAGGGTGGACTCGGGATCGCCCTCCCCCGCCCCCCCCGCACACACATCACACATCACAGCACACACACACACACACACACACAACACACACACACACACCACCATCACACACACACATCACACACACACAGCACACACCTACACACCAGCCGCACACCCACACACCACATACACCCCCCCCCCACACACTACCACACCCACACTCGCAGCTTACTCCGCCAGTTCATTTGACAATTGTATTTTTAGAGTCACCAGTGGCTAGGGAATCGACCTTTGTACTGATTGTGAGCTTGATGCACTTGGCACATACAAACATTTTAGCCGCGTATATTAATTAACTGTACGTTCTCCTCTTCCCGTACGGACTTGGGCCGCAGCGCCTGATCGATTTGCCGTTCCGGTGAATGTGTCGGAGAGTAATGGAGTGAGCTACCCCTGTATATAACGAACGGCAGCAATAAGTTCCGGCTACAGATAATTCTCATGTAGAAATTCAGACCGTCTTTGCTAAGAGCGTCTCTCTCTCGGCTACGCGCCGCGCACCTCTCCCTCCCCTTCTGCACACGTCGGCGAGGTCCGTCTCCTCTTTCTCCCTCTTCCTAATCGCTATCTCTCTTTCTCGCTTTTCGCCCCACTCGAAACGCTATCCCCGTGCGTGCTTAGCTAGGACCGTATTTCGGCTGGCTAGATAAAAATAACTTTACGGCAAAGCGGCTAATAGTGAAGGTGGCATGGCTGCATAGGACTGCATGGTGGCCTAGGATCAATGGCCGTTAACTAACTAAGAAGAAAGATTGAAATGATGTGAATAGATTGGAGCACGATGGACCGAACTCATCTCTCGCGAGCGCATAGTCAGTGTCACCTGGGACTCCATTCTTGGTATTTCTCAAAAGAATATCCGGACGGTACGTTTCGCACAAAAATGCAGCACGATCGTATTCAACTTTGCTGTACGCCATCCGCTCTCATCAGATGTCTGCTTGTTATTGTTGTATGTTGCTGCTGCTGCTGGCTGCCTGTTGTTTGTTGTTGTTATTACATTGTTATTATTGTTGTTGCTGTTGTTGTTGTTGTTGTTGATGTCGGCTCCCGCCGGCCGTACCCGCCATCCAGTTGTCCTTGCTGCTGGCGGTTGTTGTGTCTGTTGTTCGTTGTTGTTGTTGATGGATCGTCGGCTCCCGCAACGCCGTACCGCCATAGTAAGCAGTTGTTTCTGCTTTGCGGTTGTTGTTAAAGTTGTTGTTGCTTTGTTGTTGTTGTTGTTGTTCGAACTCCCGCCGCCGTCCGCCATACAGTTGTTCTGCTGCTGCGGTGTGTTATTGTTGTGTTGTGGTTGTTGTTGTTGTCGACTCGCCGCCGTACCCGCCATACAAGTTGTTCCTGCGATGTTGTTGCCACTAGTGCCCACTGCCACGTGCGATC